AAAAAAAAAAAAAAGAAGAAGAAAGCTGACTAAGGATTAATGATCCCACGCTGTGTTGAGCCCCTCTCTTCAAATGTGGGTGGCTCCGCAGTGAGCACCCCAGGAGGTGTAGAGACTCCCAGGCCTGTTCTTGGAGATTGTGATTGGCTGGACCTGGGTGAGGCTCAGGAGCTGAATATTCAGTAAACACCCCATGTGGCTCTGATGCAGCTTCCCAGTTTGGGAAGCCACGTTCTAGGGAGCGCTCTTTGGAAAATCCACTCTCAGGAACACTCCGACGTGGGCTGTACGAACTTTCTCAGAGTTGCTTATGCTTCTAGCAGTGTGCTGCTACAAAATGCACATCAGCCGAAGACCTTTAGAGGAGCTCACAAGAGTACCTGATGATTTTAAGGTCCTCATTCAAGACTCAGCAGGGGTTAATGGGCTCTGATAACTAATTTTTCCAGAAATGAGTTTTGTGTACGTGGAGCACACAAAACAGGTGACTCTGGGTAGGCCACCGAAGTGCAGAGAAGGGACTGTAACCACAGCTTACTACCCCTCCAGTGTTCTCACCAAACGTGAACATCACGTCTTCGCTGGGCTTTAGGACTTTCATATTCCTGAAGATGGGCGTGTAAAATGCTACATTTATGGAAACCAGTTTAGCAATAGGGCCTGCAGTTTCATATTCTCTGACCCAGTAATTCTACTTCTTGTACTACAACCCAGGAAAATAATTAGAGAAGTATGCAAAAACCACGCACGGAGATGCTCTTCACAGCTGTGTCTCCGGCACCAGCCACAGACAACTTACATGCCTGTCAACTGGGGGATGGTCCAGTTAAGTTTGCAGCCTTTAAAAGACGTTGCCAAGGACTTTTTACCACCATGCTCACAAGACAAGTTACTGAGAATGTTGATACATATATATACTCACACATCCTCTATATAATGTTGATATGTATAGGTATATACATATATATACCATATAATCTCAATTTTTTGTTTAAAAGTATAGATGTATCTATGTCCATATATAAAATGATAGGATATCTACCAAAATAATAACAGTGATGATGATCTGAATAATTCCTGTTTTCTTCTTTATGATTCTATTGTTTAAATTAGAAAAAGTTAAAAAATTAAAATATATCCTTTAAAAAGCATGTTTTCAGAGAATTTTTGATAAAATGGAAAATGCTTATGATACAATATTAAGGGAAAATATGGGATACAAACACACATTCAATGCAGTATCAATTAGTTTTTTGTTCGTTTTTTATTTTTTGAGATGGAGTCTCACTCTGTCGCCCAGGTGGAGTGCTGTGGAGCAGTCTCGACTCACTGCAACCTCCGCCTCCTGGGTTCAAGCGATTCTTCTGCCTCAGCTTCCTGAGTAGCTGGGACTATAGGCATGTGCCACTGTGCCCAGATAATTTTTGTATTCTTTAGTAGAGACAGGGATTCACCATGTTGGCTAGGCTGGTCTCAAACCCCTGATCTCAGGTGATCTGCCAGCCTCAGGCTCCCAAAGTGCTGGGACCACAGGTGTGAGCCACTGCCCCTAGCCCAGTTAGTTTTTTGAAACTACATACATTTATACAGTCACACTGCACTTAACAATGTTTCAGTGACAGATCACATATATGACGGTGGTTCCATAAGGTCATAATTCCGTATTTTTACTGTACATTTTCTTCGTTTAGATATGCTTAGATACACAAATCCTTACCACTGCGTTACAGCTGCCCACGGTATTCAGTGCAGTTGCATGCTGCTCAGGCTTGGCACCTAGGAGCGACAGGCTCTACCATACGGCCCAGGCATGTACGGGGCTCTGCCATCTGCGTTTGTGTCGGGACACTCTAGGACATTCACATGATCATGACGTTGCCTAACGACACAGTTCTCAGAACATCTCCCCATCATCAAGTGATACATGACTATATATATGATTATATAAATATACAAAAAGCCAGGAAAATATTAATAACTGTTCCATCTGCATAGTGGATTATAAGTAATTATTTTCTTCATTCCACGTGCATATCTTTCCCCAACTTTATATAATGGGAATGCATTACATTTTAATTCAGAAGAAATACAATAAATTGTACTTTAGTTATTTATTTTGAGATGGAGTCTTGCTCTGTCACCCAGGCTGTGGTCTCGGCTCACTGCAATCTCCGTCTCCCGGGTTCAAGTGATTCTCCTGCCTCAGCTTCCCAAGTAGCTGGGATTACAGGTGCCCATCACCATGCCTAGCTAATTTTTGTACTTTTTAAAGTCAAAACAGGGTTTCACCATGTTGGCCAGGCTGGTCTTGAACTCCTGACCTTGTGATCTACCTGCTTCAACCTCCCAAAGTACCGGGATTATAGGCATGAGCCACCACGCCTGACCTATTTATTTATTTTTTGAGACAGGGTCTTGTTCTGTCTCCCAGGCTGGAGTGCAGGGGCACAATCACGGCCACTGCAGCCTCCACCTTCAGGGCTCAAGCAATCCTCCTGCCTCAGCCTCCTGAGTAGCTGGGACCACAGGCATGGGCCACCACACCTGTTAGATTTTTTAGGGGGATGGTGTGTAGAGACAGGATCTCCCTATGTTGCCCTGGCTGCTCTCAAACTCCTGGGCTCAAGTGATCCTCCCCGTCATTGGTCTCCCCTTTGGGAGGATTATAGGCATGAGCTGCCACACCCAGTTTAGCTGCACTTTATTATTATTATTGAGACAGAGTCTTGTTCTATCACCAGGCTAGAGTGCAGTGGTGCAATGTTGGCCCACTGCAACCTCCGCCTCCTGGGTTCAAGTGATTCTTCTGCCTCAGCCTTCTGAGTAGGTGGGACCACAGGCGTGTGCCACCACACCCGGCTAATTTTTGTATTTTTAGTAGAGATGGGATTTCACCATGTTGGCCAGGATGGTCTCGATCTCTTGACCTCATGATCCGCCCGCCTCGGCCTCCCAAAGTGCTGAGATTACAGGAGCGAGCAACCATGCCCAGCAACTGCACTTTAAACAAGAGTTTATATGAGGAACATTTCCCTGAGGTGCTTCCTGACCCTGCTTGGAGCTCCTTGCATCTGGGGTTGCTTTTGCAGTACGGTCATGAGGAATGGCTGCACCCTCCGTGCTCCACAGCCCAGACAAGCACCCACCTTCCAGAGGTGCCCCATTACTTGTTATTAACACCTGCTAGGTTAATGGCAAGTATACCGCAAGAATAACAGTAATGATAATAATACCTCCCGGTCTTCGCTGAGCTCTTCCTGTGCACCCAGCACCGTGCCCAGGACTTCAAAGGCATCAGTCCCCTCCTCAAATCCTATGAGGCTGGCCGGGCGCGATTGCTCATGATTGTAATCCCTGCAATTTGGAAGGCTGAGGTGGGCATATCACTTGAGGTCAGGAGTTCAAGACCAGCCTGACCAACATGGTGAAACCCCGTCTCTACTAAAAATACAAAAATTAGCCGGGCGCGGTAGTGGGTGCCTGTAATCCCAGCTGCATGGGAACCTGAGGCAGGAGAATCGCTTGAACCTGGGAGGTGGAGGTTGCAGTAAGCCGAGATTGTACCACTGCAGTCCAAACTGGGTGACAAAGCAAGAGTCTGTCTCAAGAAAAAAAAAAATCCTATGAGGCTGGTTCTTGCCCAGCAAGGGGCAGGGCTGAGACTGCAGCCCCAATACATCCAATTCAACACCATGGTTGCAAGATCCGTTTTCCAACCAACGTGGAATTTCCATGAGGAGTGCGCCTTTTAGGAACAGCACCTCCTACCATAGGCAGTCACTCAGGAGTGAATCTGAAATGCCCAGAACCGTCTTTCTGATCCATTTATACAAGAAAAATGTGAAATTTTTACTCTGACCTATAAGGATTGTTCCCAGAGGTCATTTTTTATAAATAGCATATCCCGTTGCTGCTCTTGTTTTCGTTCTCCCTACCTTCTCTTCAGATGGGTAAAAGCCAATTGCTCTCATGACAAAAGGCAGCTCTGACAGGCAAATGTGTTCCGACACCTTTCTGGTCTCCATTGTGTCAATGCCTTGACTGCGGAGCTGGGAGTAGTAGAAGTAGTCTTCTAGCTCCTACGTAGAAATAGAACGGAGACACAAAACGCATTTAGGCTTAAGTCTGAAGCATCCATGAAGACTTCAAGGACATTTTCTAGAAAGTACATTTTAAGCTCAGTGGGGGAACAGAGTATTGGAATTAAGCAAGGAGGTTAACCCCGGGCACATCTGCTTTAAAAACTTAACTAGATGTTACCAGGAAGTGTTTACCCTGGGGATAGTTACCCTGTAGAATTTTCCTTTCCGGCCGCCAGATAGCAGACCGTAGAATGGGGTCAAGTCTTCACCCCCAAGAGAAACCGCTGCCTCCAGGACACTGGAACAATAACAGAGATGTCCCTGTTAGAAAGCGCTCAAGCGTGAGCACAGGTCAGAAGGTGGTCCGCACAGCACTGCAGCCCTCTGAAGGGTATCACGGTGCAGACACAGTTAGGGTCTCTGTACACTTGCTAAGAAAAGGCCCTTCAAAATGAAGCCAAAACCAGAAAGTTGCATTTCAAGTGTGGAACTCGGAGGTAGAGGGCACCCGCCCTCATTATGGTGATATTCTCTCGATGATGACAGGGCAGGTGCTTGGCAATTTGTCTGCAATCTTTGGGGAACACGTCTCTCCTGGGGTGGGGGAGGCATCCTGTGTTCTGAAACCACAATCCTCCCAGACAGAGCAGCCTTACCCGTAACTTTAGATCCACGAAAGATCAGAGTCAAAAGACTGGGATATTGTACAGGCGGACTGCCAACACTAATTGCTTCCATAAAAACTCAGGAGACCACAGGGACCCATGCCAGTCAGATAAAAATAACCCTCTGCTCTCTAACACAAGGTCAGATTTTCCAAAAATAGGCCCTTTCAATGGTAAGAAAACCTACTTTTGTGTGAGACCAACTTTGCCTCCTACAAAAGGCTAATTAATCATCAGAAATCATTCTAATAATCCACTGACTGGATTTCTGCTAATCGGGCAATCATCCTTTTTGCTGGGACATCAAACACACCTCATGTAGACCACGGTGGGGAAGTGGGGAAGCGTCCAGAATGTGGAGTCACATGGACATGCATGCAAGCTGCCAAGCTGTGTGACTCTGGGCAGGTAACTTAACCTCCCTGGCCTCAAGTGTCTTCCACTATAAAATGAGAAGTTTCTGCCTCACAACGTTCTTGTAGGAATTAATAAATGAATGCACGCAAGGTGTATTGGTCTGTTTTCATGCTGCTGATAAAGACATACTTGATACTGGGCAATTTACAAAAGAAAGAGGTTTCTTGGACTTACAGTTTCACGTGGCAGGGGAGGCCTCACAATTATGGCAGAAGGTAAAAGGCACATCTCACATGGCAGTGGCAAGAGAAAGAATGACAGCCAAGTGAGACGGGTTTCCCCATATCAAACCATCAGGTCTCATGAGACTTATTCACTACCAGGAGAACAGCATGGGCCCCCACAATCCAACCCTCTCCCACCAGTCCCCTTCCATAACACATGGGATTTATGGGAGTGCAATTAAAGATGAGATTTGGGTGGAGACACAGAGCTAAACCATAACATTCTGCCCCTGACCCCTTCCAAATCTCAGGTCCTCACATTTCAAAACCAATCATGCCTTCCCAACAGTCCCCCAAAGCCTTATTTCACATTAACTCAAAAGTCCACAGTCCAAAGTCTCATCTGACACAATACAAGTCCCTTCTGCCTGTAAGCCTCTAAAATCAAAAGCAAGTTAGTTACTTCCTAGATACAATTGGAGTACAGGAATTGGGTAAATACAGCCATTCCAAATGGGAGGAATTGGCCTAAACAAAGGGGCTATAGGCCCCATGCAAGTCCATCAGGGCACTCAAATCTTAAAGCTCCAAAATGATCTCTTTGATTCCATGTCTCACATCCACGTTACTCTGATGCAAGAGGTGGGTTCCCATGGTTTTGGACAGCTCTGCCCTTGTGACTTTGCAGGGCATAGCCTCCCGCCCGGCTGTTTTCACAGGCTGGCATTGAGTGTCTATGGCTTTTCCAGGCAAATGGTACAAGCTGTCAAAGGACGTACCATTTTGGGGTCTGGAAGATGGTGGCCCCCTTCTCACAGCTCCACTCAGCGGTACCCCAGTAGAGACCCTGTGTGGGGGCTCTGACCCCACATTTCCTTTCCACTTTGCCCTAGCAGAGGTTCTCTATGAGAGCCCCACCACTGCAGCAAACTTCTGCCTGGACATCGAGGCGTTTCCACACATCTTCTGAAATCTAGGCGGAGGTTCCCAAACCCCAATTCTTGACTTCCGTGCACTTGCAGGCTCAACGCCACATAGAAGCTGCCAAGGCTTGAGGCTTGCACCCTCTGAAGCCACAGCCTGAGCTCTACATTGGCCCCTTTCAGCCATGGCTGGAGCAGCTGAGATGCAGGGTACCAAGTCCCTAGGCAGCACACAGCATGGGGATTCTGGGCGTAGCCCATGAAAAAATTTCTCCCAGGCCTCCAGGCCTGTGATGGGAAGAGCTGCCGTGGGAGGAGCTGCCATGGGAGGGGCTGCCGTGGGAGGGGCTGCCATAAAGACGTCTGACATACCCTGGGGACATTTTTCCCTATTGTCCTCAAGATTAACATTTGGCTCCTCATTACATATACAAATTTCTGCAGCTGGCTTCAATTTCTCCTCGGAAAATGGGTTTCTCTTTTCTATCACATGGTCAGGCTGCAAATTTTCCAAAATTTTATGCTCTGCTTTCCTTATGAAACTGAATATCTTCAACAGCACCCAAGTCACATTGTGAATGCTTTGCTGTTTAGAAATTTCTTCTGCCAGACACCTTAAATCATCTCTCTCAACTTCAAAGTTCCACAAATCTCTAGGGCAGGGACAAAATGCTACCATTCTCTTTGTTAAAACATACCAAGAGTCACTTTTGCTCCAGTTCCCAACAAGTTCCTCACCTCCATCTGAGACTACATCAGCCTGGACCTTACTGTCCATATCACTAAAAGGCTTTTGGCTAAAGCCACTCGACGAGTCTCTAGGAAGTTCGAAACTTTCCCACATTTTCCTATCTTCTCCTGAGCCCTCCAAGCTGTTCCAACCTCTGCCTGTTACCCAGTTCCAAATCCCTTTCACATTTTCAGGTATCTTTTCAGCAATGCCCCACTCTACTGGTACCAATTTACTGTATTAGTCCCTTTTCATGCTGCTGATAAAGACTTATCTGAGACTGAGGAATTTACAAAAGAAAGAGGCTTATTGGACTTACAGTTTCACATGGCTGGGGAGGCCTCATAATCATGGTGGAAGGTGAAAGGCATGTCTCACATGGCAGTGGCAAGAGAGAGAATGAGAGCCAAGTGAGACGGGTTTCCCCTTACCAAATCATCAGGTCTCATCAGACTTATTCACTACCACAAGAACAGCATGGGGGACACTGCCCCCTGCCCCCGATCCAACCATCTCCCACCAGGTCCCTCCCACAACACACAGGAATTACCAAAATACAATTCAAGATGAGATTTGGGTAGGGACACAAAGCAAAACCATATCACAAGGATTGGAGACAAAGTCCTTTATTTCCCTCCTGTAATGAACGTTTGTCAAGGTGTGGGGTGGACTCGGAAAGCCCTGGCTCTGAATCCCACCCCACTGCCTCCTCTATTGCTTGGGCAGTCAATGGACCTCCTGGTGTTAGCTTCTTGCCGTGTTCTGTGGGGATGAGGGTGGTGCCAGCTCCCAGGACAGCTGTGAGGATGAAATCAGATGATATGTGGAACTCGGTGCAGGGCCCGGCCCTGAGAAAGGTTCAGCACGAGTGGCTGGGATTATTAGGGGCGTGGAAATGGGTGTTGGCGCCTACACCTCTCTCAGGAAGAGTCTGCCACGCACTGTCCCCAGTCCTCTCACTGAGGCATGCACAAGTCCACGGGTTAGCTTAAAGACTGAGGGACCTGGGTATTCTCCAGGGGTGCCCGAGGACCCCTCCGGCAGGGCTGGGTCTTCCCCACTTCTCAGTTCAAGTATTAGGCCACGGAGGCAAGTGTCCAGCTGACAGGGCTCCCTCTCTGGGGCCTCCAGGCCAGGCCCAGGCCCGATCCCGACAAGCTCCATGAGCACCGAGGCCACTTTTAGCCATGTGGCTCTGGAGCAGGGCCAGGTAAAGGCCGTAAGTGACACAGAGGAGCCTGTCACCACCAGGAGCCCCTGAAGGGAAAGGCTGGCAAGAGCGCCTGGTCCTCCAGGAGCAACCGCGGCTCCGGCTCCGGTGTTCAGTGCTCCGCTACATCCCTGCCTCCCGGCCACCGCGAGCCGACCCCAGAGGGGTCCAGGGCTGCACTGGGCTTTCTCCAGCCCACGCTGGGAAAGAGATTCCCTCTCTCTGTGGTGAGAGCTAGAGTTTGTGAAATTTGAGAACTGCCAGTGGCCATCTTCCTGCTGAGTAAGGAAACCCAGTTCTGCAGAGAACGAAGCCAACAGCAGGGTCAAGCAGACAGTGAGTGCTGCGGGCACCAAGTGTGCCGCTGTCCCTGACCATCCTGCTGTGTAGCCACATGCGACCCCAACAATTTTCTCATACATCCCCTTTTTGCCTAAATTGTGTTTCTAACACTCGCAACAAAAAGAGGTCATTAGGGCACTAAAGGGAAATGACACTTATTGAAAGCCTGCTCTGTACCCAGCAAACCACACAGTACTTTTAGAAAGGAGCTAAAGCTCTGAGCCCCATGACGAACACACAGTAGGTGCTCAGTAAATGCTCCCTAGAGGAGGAGAGGAGGAATGGTCTGAACTTGGTGGTAGCAGTCCCACTTAACAGCTGGAGGAACTGAGGCTCCGAGAAGCGAAGGGACTTGCCTGGCATCATCCAGTCAGCACGGAGTGACTAGCTACGATTCTAATTGGGGTCCCTGCTCTTGGCTGAGCAGGGCAGCAGGGTGACAGGAGGCAGGGAGGCTGGGCACAAAAAAGTAGGGGGGATTTTGAAACAGACACCAGACAAGGAGAGGAAAAAGGACGGCATGCTAACATTGAGGGGGAGAAGGGGCGTGTGGAATGAACCCCAAGAGAGGCGATGGAAGGGCTGTCCTGGGGCAGGAGCACTGCAGGCTGTGATGGTGGCACTCTGGGCCGAGGGCTGCACTTACTAAAATAATGCAATCTGAGGGGATTTGTCATCTTCATCTCCCCCGACCTCTCATCCACAGTAACTTGGCAGGAAATTCTGTTTACTTGTTTAGGGTTTCTACATTTCTTTCCATTAGTGAAGTGCTGATCATATTAACTCACCAGGAGCAGCAATGAAGTGCTAATTAGTTTATAATGATCCTTTGTCCCCACCACAGATTACATTGAAATTCTCAGAAGCCTGGACTCTGGCCAGGCACAGGAAAGCTATTGGAAAGCAGAGGCCTTTTTGAGTTCTTCTTAAGTTTCTACCATTCCAGAGCCCACGACGACTGAGAAGACAAACATTTTAGAAGAAAGGTTCTAGCCGGGTGCAGTGGCTCACATCTGTAATCCCAACACTTTGGGAGGCCAAGGCTTAAGCCCGTGAGATCAAGTCCAGCCTAGGCTTGATGAGACTCTGTATCTACAAAAAATAATTTTTTAAAAGTTAGCCAAGCATGATGGCATGTGCCTGTGGTTCCAGCTACTCGGGAGGCTGAGGCAGGAGAATCGCTTGAGCCCAGGAGTTCAAGGCTGCAGTGGGCCATGATCACATACTGCACTCCAGCCTGGGTGACCGAGCCAGACCCTGTCTCAACTACCACAAAAACAAATAGAAAGGAAGGTTCCGCTTGCCCCTGCAGGGCGTGGCTTGCCTCCATGGTTCCAGGTAACAAGTCAGCAGACAAGGAACCAGGCAGCCATTCTGAGGCCACGATCCCTTTTCAATGGAAGAGTTCACCTCCAGCTCCTAAATCCCTAAGTTCCCAAGATCTGCTCTCTCGAGTGAAGGCACGGTGGAAGTCAGAGCTGCAAATGCAATCTCAAACCACCGTGGTTCCAGAGCAGATTTAACTGGCTATTTTTGCTCATATTCAGGTTAAGAGTAGAAGCGTCAATATCCAACACAAAAAGAAGGATGTGCACTTGGCAGATGGCAGGGGGTGCACTGCGCTGGCAGCCAAGAGTCAGGTTGTTCTCTGAGGAAGGAAGGTGCCTCTGAGCTGTTTTTGCTCCCTACGTCACACTGCCAGGAGAGGCCCAGCCAAGACAGGCGGCGCAGGCGCTCGGAGAAGTGGTCAGAACAGGAACTGGCTGCCCATGGCTGACTGTGCCCTGTGGCAGCTGGCTGAATGTGGGTAGAGGAGAGGACAGTGTGGGTGCTGGTCCCCTCTTTATTAGGGAAGATCCTAAGCTTATAAACAAATGCTCTTATGGGAAGATGAGAAGAAAGGAAATCATTACCTTCCTGAGCACTTAGCTCTGCGCTAGGTGCTTTTCCCATATTAAACTACCAGATCTTTACAGGGATCCCACAGAAGTCCCTATCATCGGCCAGGCGCGGTGGCTCATGTCTGTAATCTCAGCACTTTGGGAGGCCAAGATGGACAGGTCATGAGATCAGGAGTTTGAGACCAGCTGACCAACATGGTGAAACCCTGTCTCTACTAAAAATACAAAAATTAGCTGGGCATGGTACCACACACCTGATATCTCAGCTACACAGGAGGCTAAGGCAGGAGAATTGCTTGAACCCAGGAGGCAGAGGTTGTGGTAAGCTCAGTGTACCACTGCACTTCAGCCTGGGTGACAGAGTGAGACTCCATCTCAAAAAAAAAAAAAAAAAATAGCAGTCCCTATCATCACCCCCATTTCGCAGGCAAGGATCTGAAGATCAGAGACGTGAAGAAGCTTGCCCTAGGCCCCACATCCAGTAGAGGGTGGCCCCATATTCAAACTCATACATATCCCTTTAACCTCAAAGTCTGCATACTCTCCGACATTTAACTCAAGAGTTCTCCAGCCTGACTGCAGGCTGAGGCTCTCCATTCAGGGCAGGGGGGGTGAGAAGGGGAGCCTGAATACCCACTTCAAATGACCCTCTTACCATTTCTGTAGTGTATGCTTTGGAGGGTCGGCCTAGATCTTTCTAGCGGGTATAGCTATGCAGAGCAGAGGGAGAAGCATTTGAGGGAGCAGGGGTGAGTCCCAGGTGCTGTCACACCGCCTGAACTGCAAACGCCATTGGTCCATGGGGCAGGACAGCAACTTCTGTGTGCACGGTAATATGAGCAATGCCAACAGAAGCGACCTGAAAGCCAGGCCCTGTGACATCCTAGCATAGTGCCTGGCATGCAGCAGGGTTCAGTGTCTGAATGCTGCTGCTGAGTGAAAAGGAGTTTCCACGTGACACCTTCCTTCTCTTCCGTCACATACCTTGAATTGATTTTCCACTGGACCACCGAACGATCGTGCCCCCCTGCGGTGAATGCGTAGCGGCCGTCATAGGAAAGGGCCATGCCAGCCACCCCATTTGGGTGGCAAACAATAGCAGTTGTCTTATGTGGATTGCCGTCCACTGGTAAGATCTGCAGTCCAACCTAGGAAGGAATACGTAATTGGATATTCAGACTCAGGTAGCTGGGCCCAAGAGAGGCCTGGCACATTCACATGTCACCTCCAGATCTGTGTGGCAGAAGGACCTGCTGCTGAGTGAAAAGGGGTTTACACTTGACACCTTCCTTCTCTCCCTGTCACATATGTTAAGCTGATTTTGTCTGGACCCATCTCCAAGTGTGAGAGCCACATTTAATGTAGCTGGGCATTCACACGCCAGCCCTGAGAGGACACAGGCCTCTTGCACAGTTCTAACAGATGCACAGAAGACAGAAGGGAAGCTTTCCTCCCTGTCTTCACGGTCAGTTGTCCAAGGTTTTCCGGAATAAATCTCACAACCTATGACTTTTACACTTCCTTGGGTTTTTTGAGATGGAGTCTTGCTCTGTCGCCCAGGTTGGAGTGCAGTGGCATGATCTCAGCTCACTGCAACCTCTGCCTCCCATGTTCAAATGATTCTCCTGCCTCAGCCTCTCAAGTAGCCGGGATTACAGGTGCCCGCCACCAAGCCCATTTAATTTTTGTATTTTTAGTAGAGATGGGGTTTCACCATGTTGGCCAGGCTGGTCTCAGACTCCAGCCTGCCTTGGCCTCCCAAAGTGCTGGGATTCAGCCTCCCAAAGTACTGGGATTACAGGTGTGAGCCACCATGCCCAGCAGGCTTTACACTTTTCAATGTAGATGATTCATTAAATTATACAACAAAGTGTACCAATTTGCATGCTTTTATAAGAGTTTTCCATGCAAATAAATAAGAAGGAAAAATCCTTTGCTGGCCCATGTATCTTCACTCGGAATACAATAAATGCAGTAATTCTGCTCAGAAATGTCTCCCAAGAGGCTTCCTAACTCATCAAGGGCAATCTTTTTTTTTTTTTTTTTATGATGGGGTTTCACCATGATGGTCAGGCTGGTCTTGAACTCCTTACCTCAGGTGATCCACCCACCTCCGCCTCCCAAAGTGCTATGGTTACAGGCGTGAGCCACCGCACCCAGCAAGGGCAATCTTCAGTATCACAGCTGACTGGGGCGGCAGCTGTTGGGCTTGGCTGTAAACCCAGGCTCTCTGAGTCTCATGATCTTTGGTAATGACTGCTGCTCATGACACACAGAGTCAACTCCCAGAGCTGGAGAAGACAGCGCTGTTACCTTGTCTCTGTTAATAAACACCAAGTAGCGTTTCGGTAGCTCTGCCATGCTTCTCGCCGGGAGGACCTGTGCCTGCTCAATAGGGGAACCGTAAGCTGGGCCCATAAGCGTCTTTCTGAAGGCAAAAAAAAAAAAAGAGACAGTTTTTGAATTTCACAAATTTCAACATAGGTTTTACGATTGTTTGGTCATGGATGGGGCATGGTGGCTCATGCCTGTAATCCCAGTACCTTGGGAGGCTGAGCCAGGCAGATCAGCTGAGGTCATGAGTTTGAGACCAGCCTGGCCAACATGGTGAAACCCCTTCTCTACTAAAAAAAAAAAAATTCGCCAGGTGCAGTGGTGTGCACCTGTAGTCAGCTACTCAGGATGCTGAGGCATGAGAATCGCTTGAACCCGGGAGGTGGAGGTTGCAGCAAGCTGAGATCACACCACTGCACTCCATCGTAGGCAACAGAGTGAGACCCACCCTCAAAAAAAAAAAAAGAAGAAAATCTAACTATATCTCTACATTGCTAGACCCTATCCTAAGATAATCATGAGTAATAGTTTGGTGTATATGACTCAAGACTTTTTTTTATAATTATAATTTTATATAAAAATAGAATTATGCTATTCATGCTGCACTGTAGTTTATTTCATCACATATTGGAGATATTTCCACGTCACCACACAGAGAGCTGTCTTACTCTTCCTCTTTTTTCTTTTCTAAAAGCAGCATCGTGTTCCAGTATACTGACAAGCCATCCGTTTAACTAATCCCCTATTAATGGGCATTTGGATTGTTTCCATTTTTTAAAATATTTTCAAACAAGACACCCTTTTACTTATGCCTTGGCATACTGTTTGAGTACTTCTGTGGGCTACATTCCTAGAAGTCAGAAGATATGATACAATTTAATAGAGGGTGACAAATTGCTTTCCCAAAAGGTTACAGTGATTCATACCCGCTCCCCAGCAGCGGATGAGAGTGCCTATTTCCCTATCCTCTTGCCAACGCTAAGCACTATCAATCATTTTTATCATCACTAATCTGATTGGTGAAAAATGATATCTTGTTTTCGTTTGTGTCTTTGATATACTCATGAGCATCTGCTCATAGGTTTATTGGCCTTTTTCTGTGAACTGCCTTTTCACGTTCTTTCAAATATTTTTTAAATGCATTTTTAAATTCTTTTGGATTTATCATGAAAAGACAATTCCTTCCCGATTAAGCCATGGTTATGAGGCTTTATTATTCCTACAGCTTAGAAAATGCTTTATGCAAGGGGTTTTATTCTGGAATGATGGAAATTTCTGAAGCTAGATAGAGGTGGGGGTTGCACAGCACTGTGAGTGTACTAAATGACACGGAAATCTTCACTTTCTTTTCTTTTCTTTTTCTTTTTTCTTTTGAGACGGAGTCTTACTCTTTCACCCAGGCTGGAGTATAGTGGCGTGATCTTAGTTCACTGTGATCTCAGTTCACTGCGACCTCCGCCCCCCGGATTCAAGCAGTTCTTCTGCCTTAGCCTCCTGAGTAGCTGGGATTGCAGACATGCACCACCATGTCTGGCTAATTTTTGTATTTTTAGTAGAGACTTGGTTTCACCATGTTGGTCAGGCTGGTCTCGAACTCCTGACCTCAGGTGATCCAGCCACCTTGGCCTCCCAAAGTGCTGGGATTACAGGTGTGAGCCACCATGCCCGGTTGAACTGGTCACTTTCAACTCATTCGTTTTATGTTATATGAGTATCACCTTGATAAAATTTTTTAAGATGCTTTATGCTAATTTCAGATTGATCATCAATAGGCAGAAACTCCCAACTTTGTTTCCAAAAGTCTCTCCCGCCTCTCTCCTCTGGTGAATAACCATTAGTAGGAACTTCAGGCCCAAGGCCTATCGGCCCTCATTCTCTGGCCCTGCTAATTCAGCGTGTCTTAGCACTGCACATATCTGAGAGATATTCTTTGTCCAAAAAGTATGTGTTCATTAAAAACTATAAGATATGATAAAACTTAATAGTGCATAATAAAAGCTATGCACAATGATTCTGAAGTCTTTCTAAAGCTCTTCTTTGTACATACTTTCGAGTGTTTTAATTGTTTAAGGCAATTGTCCTGAATTTCTCTTTCTACCATAAGACATGGCATTTCTCAGTCATTTTTTTCTTGGCCTTCTGGGAAAGAACTATTAAAAAAAAAAAAAAAATCCCGGGTGGATGTGGCCTTTTGAGGACCTCTCTTATCTGAGCTATATTTCAAAACAATGATCGTCCTGGAGTCTGGGCCAGCTGCTACGGCCAGTTCCCTGACTTCCTTCTCCTGATGGCGATGGTGGCGGTGACAGTGGCGGACCGCTGAAACATTCTCCCTTCCAACTTCCCCTGCCTCCATGCTTCTTTCCAGCCATACCCAAGACACAGCCAAACCAAAGGCAGAAGCTCCCCTCCAGGGCTGACCAGGTAAGATCCCACAGCCAGGGCTGTGTTGAGGCCCCAGAACACCGAGTAGAGGACAGGGTCGGAGCTAGGTTCCAGGGTCAAGTCCTGCCCTGCTTGACCTTGGGCAGTCACACAGCCTCCTGAAGCTCAGTGGGAGAATGCTCAGCAGGCTGTGGAGGAGGGAACAGGACGATGGACGGTGCGGCCCCTGCTGCACTGGAGGGATGATCGTGCGATTTCTCGTGAGGGCTCACAGGGGTGGAAGCACAGGGGCCCCGTGCAGGTGCTGGACTGCATCAGGCGGGAGGAGATGTGGCTCCAAGACGCCAGGCTGCGGATGCCCTGCTCTCTCGCTGGTGTCTTCCCTGCTCATGGCTTCAGCCGTCCTGTGTTCCTGACTCCAGCCCAGCCCCTCCCGGGACCTCCACACTCCAGAGCCTGATTCATGGGTTCCCACCTGAATGCCAAGCAGGCAACTCGAGCTTGCCTTGGCCAGCCTCTGACTCCGAGTTTGTCTGAAAACTACACTTCCCTCGTCCTCCTCATCTCTTTAAAGGGCCATTCCATTCTTCTGGCTTCGTGAGGCGTCTTCTCTCACACCTCCTTTTCCCTCCATTAGCAAACGCTGTTCGCTTTGCCAGCAGAGTATATCCAGATTCTGACCCCCTCCCTGTGGCCCCTCAGGGCCAAGCCTTACTCGGGAAAGAGACGGAGTCCCCAGGGTGCCGTGTGCTGGGCACCTGCCTGGGCCTCTGACCCGATCTCCCGTACCCCTCCCTGCCCACTCCACTCCGGCCTCACCAGCCTTCACAGCATTTCCTAAACCCAAACGCCTCCCACCTCTGGTCCTTGGGCCTTGCTGGTCCACTCTCTTCCTCCAAGCGCACGGCGGCCCCTCACTTCCCTCTTGCTTCCTTCCAGTCTCTGTTCGGATGCTCAGATGTGCCCTGCTCTCCAAGGCCTTCCCTGCCTCCCTACCTTTTTATCCTGCCTTTTCCCTTTTTCTTGCACGGACCTGATTGCTACATACCTACTACCTGGCTACTTGTTCATGCTATTGCATCATCCCCACCCCCAACCAACATGTAAATCAAACAATTGTTAGTAGCCAGGTAAAAATATGTTTTTCTTAATGAGAGGGGATTTTAGAGCATCAGCGACTTTCCTAGGGCCCCAGGTTTGTGTCCTCCCTGGATCTGCACATCCCGCCCCCACACCGGGCCACGTGACCTTGGTGAGAATCACTTATCTGTGCTTCCCTTTCCTCCTCTGCAGAGTGAAGAGGATGAAAACAGTAGCCAAGCCGCCTGCAGGTCCCTAAGCGGAGGCTTGCCGCAGGCTGGGGTTAGAGAACTCGGTCCGCCCCCTGCCATGGGGCACCCCAGGTGCTCACCTGCACATTTTGGTGGTAGCATTAAAAAGCTTCACTTTGTAGCCACTGTTGCAGATGAGCAGGAAGAGTTCCCTGGTGAGTGGCGGGTACCAGACCATGCAGGTGGGGTAGCAGCCCTGGTCGGTGCGGTGAATGTCCAGGACTTCCAGGTGGTCTTTGTAGCTCCTGAGAAGATCATACTCTATCTGCAGAGGAGCCCAGATGGACACACGTGAGGACGGAGCCAAATTAAAGGCTCAGCTAAGGAACCCCAAGCTCTTGGGTGACAGCCTTTATCATTATCAGCCAAGGTGCTGTTCTGAGGGAGATGGTATCAGGTTTCCTAAGAGAAGACCTGCCTAGACCTGACACCGACTAAGTCATCAGTACTGAGCATTCACTACCTGGAAGACAGTGAGCTGAGTGCTCTAGAAACATCTCCATGCCATCCTCAGAACTTCCCTGCAAAGAAGTGCTGCTGTTCCCATTTTACAGATGAGAAAACAGATATTCAGAGATGCTCAGAGTGGCTTGTCCAAGGTCACATAGTTAAAAAGTGGCAGAGTAAACACTCAAAAATTCAAATTTAGGTCCAGCTGACTCCCACACCTGACATCTTGCAGTTCAGTTATACTGTGGCACTTATCATTATCTTAGGAACTAATTCATATCTAAATCTTAGCCCAGCACTTGGCAGTCACAAACTAGCAGCCTGCTGAACTGAGCCCAAACAGGTATGTTTCGGAGGGCGGAGCAGAATAGATGAATGGATGGATGGATAGATGGATAGATGGATGGATGGAAGAATAAATGGAATAAAGGAAGGAAGGCGAGAGAAAGAAGGGAGGGGTGGGAGGGAGGAAAGAAGAAAGCAAAGGAAGGAAGGGAGGAAGAAAG